AAAAAAAAAAAAAAAAAAAAAAAAAAAACAAACATAAAAAATTTACAAACACCAAAAAAAAAAAAAAAAAAAGAGGCGGCAGCTTCACAGAACCTCTTCAAAATAGCTGCCCCACTAGAGGAATGATTCAGGAGCCTTTTATAGGGTACAGGTGGGCCTCATCAACGTCTGATTGGCTTGACAATCCTCTGCTGGTCCAATGGTGTAGCTGCTTTCCTACAGCCAATCAGGAAGGTGTGCTCTCACAGCTGAACCTGCATAACAAAAGGGAGCCTGCACAGCCTCAAGAGGCCAGGGGCTGTAACAGAGGTAAGAGAAGTGTTCTACCACGGTAATCAGATGGCGAGTAAAGGAATCATCTCTTTACCCCCTACTGTTGTGAACATGCGTGAAATTTCCAGATGTAAGCAACAACATTCAGCATGTCTTTGTGCCTGTTTTCTTCTTTTCTCTCTCTAAGCTTCCGTCACTCTGATGTTTAGCATTTTTGGCCATTTTTGTCCGATGTGAGAATCTGCTGTCTTGATTCTAGAGAAGATAGAGATTACATTGGCATGTTCAGAAAATGTGCTCCAAGCAGTGCTTTGCAATATGAATGTTGCGTAAATGCTAATATCATCATTGCATTACATTTGCAGTACATTGTTCATCCCTAACCAGCACCAATACTGACCCGAAAGCACAAGAAAAATCAGCTCCGGTTTGCTCTCAACTCTGAACTTAAACTCAGGAATTCTGTTCAGTGGGTAGAGGTGTGTGATATCGCATCCTGCTATATCAAACTTCTGATATTTATGTACTTTTGTGTTTGTTTGTTTGTTTTTTTTGTAGGGGAAAGAATCTGGACAAAATTTATAAAAACATTAATAACATTAAAATGATTTCTGTGCATTTTTCTAAACAAAAATGAAAAATAGAATTTCAAGAGGAATCTGAAACTAAAGTATTGATCTTACCAAGCTAGCATTGGTCTGATACTGATATTTTCACTATTTTGAATCGATCCGTCCACCTGTACTGTGGATTATGGGTTCAGAACTGGAACTTTTCGGGCCATTGAATCAGCTGCTTTTTCCAGAGGAACAAGAATGAAGCTTGACCTGGAAAGAACACTGTGCCTGTGCAGAAGCTGAAACCTGGGGCCTTCAAAGCCTGTCCCAGTCCAGCAAGCATGATTCCAGGAGTCCTAGGAGATAGCAGAGTGGCTGTTACAGTTGACTTACTTGAACTTCATTAAAAATCTTCAAGGACAACAGAAAAAGGAGGCTGCAGAGCACAAACCCAAGAATATTAAAAAACAGGAGTAGTTGGTGTACAGTCTTAAAAGACTGAAGGATTGTGTGTCATGTGTTTAATATCTGAGAAACGTCTTCACATCTTGAATAAATGAGCAGAAGACTAAAAGCAATTTATGATTAATCTGAGTATTAGTAAAGGAGATTTGAAGCTGCCAGTCTACAGATTGTATCTACACCATGTCACAGTCCCTCTGAACCTTTGGTTTCCATAACACCAGGCTAAAGCTAATGCAGCTTCATACAGTCAAACTGTCTCACACAATCCTGCAGGCTTTTAAATCCCATCTGGAGCCCCATCAAATGAAATCTTCAAGTAAATGATTATCTTGTCAAAAACGGGCAACAGACACATAGTGATTAGATGCATCAGTGATCATTTGTTTCCGTGGTAACAGAAATTGCATCTGTGCAGGATCTGTACTTAGAAGCAGTGCAAAGTGCACCCTGAGAGTCTGATCACAGCTGGAATTCAGACACTCAATAGCCTGACACTGCACACGTCTTTAATGGTACTCCATTTTACATACAGCCTTTATAATGGACATGTTCCTCCAGCAGCATTAACAATAATGTTGAAGATTTCAATAAGCTTTAGGAATATGATTATGGAAATATTTGACCATTTTCCTATAGAGTATTTATCAGAGTTTGTTTGACCTTTCAGACTCCAATGTAATTCATCACCTGCTCTCACTGCCCCAGTGTGAGACTGGACAGTGTGAGCTCTGGTTCACACAGTTGCTCTGGACATCTCTGACTATTATGAATGCTAACGCTAGTTAGCATGGCCACCAATGATGGTGGCTTTGATTGGTTGTTTATGAACGGGAGCGGGCGCTTTAAGTCTGGTCCGATGTAAGGTGACACACCATTTGACAGTGATACAAACCATGTGGTGTGAATTTAGGCAACGTCTGCAAATTGATCAACATATCAAGAGGGAAGAATTGTGGGTCGAGTTCTAATCCAACCGTCTATGAGCCCCAACAAGGTGTGCTACATTCACAGACAAATTAGCTCGACTCAAACAAGCAGAAGCCATCATTGTATTGGCAAAAACAGCTTGGGAAAACAATCTCAGTGACACCATTCAATACTCCCATCTCTCACTGCCGATGTCCATCATGGCACCTCGCATGATTAAATGACGCAGTTGCTAAGGGTCAATAATGATGTTTGTGCAAATGATCTCCTCTTACAGCAGAAATGTCAAACTTTGTGTTTAAATCCTCAGAATAAAGTGGCATCTACCTATAAGAATCCATTAGCTGATGCTAGTGTATTTATGCTGATCTCAGGCTGATACCTTTGGTCAGTTTTCTGTCTGATTTAGATAACAGTGCATTCCCTGTCCACACACACACACACACACACATGTCCTCAAAAATGCCTGATAACCCGACACCTATGTTATCTTTTGTGTTAAAATCCCTGGCTTACTTAGCATGTTAAATGATGGATTGCATTCTTAAAGTCTAAGGAGGGGCTGTATGGCAGCAGCTTGGAAACCCCGCTGGCCTGCAGTTCGAAGACAGATTACCCCGCCTTTATCTGGACTAGCTGATTATTCCTCTTGTATCATGGAAGCGAAGTCTGAGGCAGGAGGTGATTTGTGACGGAGCCTGAAATAGCTTGATTGCACTCAGGTTCAGTTTTACCTTGTTATCAGCATAGATTACACTTTTCTCATTTTGGCTGCAGTCTGTTTGCCATTATGGTGATGAAGTGACGCTCAAAACTTGCTGATTGAAAGATGCATGATGAAAGCAGCAGAAGCAAATTCATTATGAAATACTTTTCTCTCTTTTGTCAAGCTTTTTATTATAATGTGCTGGATATTAAAAGGGATTTCAATTGCTTCTTTCTGCAAACGGCAGAAAAATGACCTTTAAAGCATCTGTCAAAGAATTAATAATCCCACCTTCGCTGACATAGAGTGATACTAATTATCAGACATATCTTTAAGGAAGGAGGGGTTTTTACCATTATTCCTATCATTACTAATGATTTAGGCTAGGATATTGCTTCAGATCACAAGGTGGTCATTATTGAGGGTGGAGACCAACCTACAGCTGAACGACAGCTGAGTTAATGTGATGAAACACTCGCCTCCCCTCTATTCACCTGCTTTAACTCCGCTACCAAGGTCATTTCTCTCTCATACCAGACTGAAGAAAAACCATAGTGGTGGGACAAACCAGCACCAGATGCAATTCAACAAAGCAACTATGAGTATAAAATGGTTAACAAGGTACTGAACTGTAAAACAAAACGGAACCCAGATAATTACTAGACATGAGGAACTAGCTGCGTTTCCATTACAAACGTTGATATGCTGCCAATGTTGGAAAAGCACCATTTTGCAATTGCTGTGTTTTCATTAAATAAAGCAATTAAAATCATACATGAATATATTTGTTCACACGATAAGTCTTAAAAAAAATATGCCGTGCCATCATCTTCCTATCACTTCCTGTTGCCTTCTTTGTTGTTTCTGCCAGTAGTAATGTCCAGCCGTTGAGCACATTTCAATGGCAAAAAATAAAAAACATTTTGTCTTAGGGATAAAACTATTTTTTCTTTTTTTAAGTAGTTGTGTTTCCATTAAGTGAATTTAATTTTGTAAATGCAATTTCCGCAAATTTTTGGTGAATGGAAACGCAGTTACTGACTCCTCAATATATAAAATCAAAAATAGAATTCAACTTTGACTTTTATTGAAACACATTAGTTTTAAAAGTGTCATGATTTGTCGGTGTTGGTGAGGAGGTAGATGCAGGTAGGCCAAGGTTGACACTGTAAAAGTTGATTTACTGAAGAAAACACAGGAACGCAAAGAACTGGCAGAAGATGAACGAAGCGACATGAGATGCACAACAGCAGAACAGACTGGTACGACACGACGAGGACCCGACAAGAGACAAAGACAACAGGAGGGTTTAAATACACAGGGAGGGTAATCAGGGAATGAGACACAGCTGGGATCAAACAGGGAGGACAGGACACAGAAAAACCAAGAAATAAATACACAGATCACCACAAAAAGTTATTATTGTAATTGTTATTTTTAAGACTGACAAATCCTATTTATGAAAACTTACATATGTGTATCATGCTTTAGAATGAATGTTGTCATGGTTTGCTGAAATCAGGTTGCAGAACTGAGTCAGAGAGAAATGGAGAGACCAAATAAAAAAAAAAAGATTAGACCCTTTGCAGAACATTCCAGGTGGAATATGTATATTTCACATGATTAGTTAACCTCTTTGTCTTTTTATTTAAACACTCACAGAAAGGGATGGGTGATGAGGAAGACAGCTTTGTGCATTTTGTCTCACTGCAGGCAGAGCCACATTAGATAAAGGAATAAACCTGGAGAAAATGATTGCTATTGTGTCCTGAGTAAAACAGGAGCCTGCAGGTCAGGGGACTGGTGGATGGCTGACAGCTCCTCCATGTCTAATCTCAGAGGTGTGTTAACATGACTTTACATAAAAACTGTGGTGTCACTCACAGTTAGCAACAGCTATCTGTGTGTGTCTCTGATAGAGTGGCTGAAGGCTGGGGTTGTTGTGTAAAACGGGGTGAAATATAAATTCATGGTGCTAAATCCACTATAAATAAAACAAGTAGGAACAACAAGGAAATCTATAAAAATTATTCATGGTGATCTTTTTTTTGTATTTAACAGATGAATGGGAGCATGAAGTGGAGGCGGCCGCAGAGACAGGTAGGCTCCATGGTGCATTTCTGAAATGAGAAAATAAACTGAATCAGTAACCCTACTGTTAATGCCACGTGGCAGAGATTGATAACCCACCAGGAGGTATGAAGTATTCATGTCTTTCTTTTTAGGTTGAAGCAAACTCTAGATTGTATTACTGGCAGCTAAAAATATTCATGCCTGAGTCTATTGTGACCTGGATCGGTATCAGAAACCCAGACTGTTGGTCCCTGAACATCACACTCTAATCATTAACTTAAAAGTATCACAATGCAACCCTCAGA